GAGAGAGAGAGAGAGAGAGAGAGAGAGAGAGATATATTCAGGTGGGGGCGGGGGAAAAATTAAGCATTTAAAGGAACCACTTGAGAGTTCGACTAAACAGTACATGCAGATCTGTAGGGTGGGTGCACAATGTCAGTTTTTCCAAGATAAAAAACAGCCTGTTCAGATGTGAATCAACATTCCTTCATTCTCAAAGAATTTCAAGAGTGAATTACAAAACCAAAAGACTTCCAACACATTAAATCACTGTATTGTATCATGTACACCTCATTTTTCACCATCATGGCCACTAATTCTCTAAAAAGCTGGTTAGGGAGGCGTTTTGCCATTTCACACAGAAGACATGACTTCTGTTCCAGTAAAGAGAAGATTTTACCATGGAGTTTATCTGTTTTTCTGTTGAGACCCTTTATCTGATTCAGCCTGAGCTGGCCCTGGCTGGCAAGACCGAAGCAGCCCTAATTGTGTCAATGTGGGATACATCAAACAAAACACACCAAATAAAGTTAGTGAATCTCAAAACAAAAACTACATTCACAACAATGCAATGATAATATACAAAAGTTATTGGTAAGCTTCATTTTTATTGGTACTTTTTTTTAACTAAAGAGACTTTGAACAAATGACAAAAGGGGAAATATTGGCACAGAATTCTATTTATACAAAATCTCAATTCTTTTTCCTCTCTTGCATAACTTCTTCCTTTCTTCATACAGGCATGTAATGTACTGTAATGCAATTTTTTTTCTCATTCTTACACATACACAAATAATCTTTCACTCCAATTTAGTCCAGTAAATAAGTACATTTGTCTCTCAACCAATATCTCCCTTCTATCACGCTCTCTTGCCTTCTATTTCTGTTCTCATAACTCATCAACCCTGATCTGGACCCCATTCTAGCATTTCCTTCTCCTCTCTCTCCAACACACACACACACACACACACACACACACACACAGGCAGGTACAAAAAGCATCAACCATTCCTCAAATGACATAAAACAATCATAAACAACCAATGACCTCTGACCCCAGGGTCACGACTGATCCATGTCAGAGTTGACATCCATGTGGTTTTCTTTGTAGTACCTTGTTGAGGACTGAAAGCAAAACAGGAATTACGAGATTAAAATGATTTCCTTTTGTCATAAATCAACTTTGCTTGATTGAGCAAAGAGAAGAACATTGACACAATAACAACCATTCAGAGGTGGGGGGGAAAAGCAAATCTGACTGACAGAAAAAAGAGGGACAGCAAAGAGATAAGACCAACAAGCGGAGCCCTCCAACCACCCGAATAATGAACATAATTGAGCTATTAATCCCCGATACCATGAAGAAAGATAATTATTGTATTGTAGCTTTGTCAATTCAGAGACAAAAGCTGAGTGAAAACTACTTTCAGCAGATAAAGATAAACTAATTATGAAAAAATCTAGAAGCAATACAACAGAGTAATCTTGATGAAAAAGATAATAATAGTATTAATAAATAAATAACAGTAACAATGAAGCAAAATGATACAAAATACTAAAAAGTAGAACTCTGCGACATATTACAGAAGTGTTTTTGGTGAAGAATGACAGGAAAATCACAGAAAGAGAAATCTTGCTATTGAATTCAAAGGCACAGCTTAAGCTCCAGGCTCAATACAAAATAGTGACTTTACAGCCTGAACATAAAGCTGGGACGAAGATTGTTTTTTATAGTTTTAATAAGTATTTTACAGCACTCACAACACAAAAGGAATAAGTGCCGAAGATTAGAGGAGTTACAAGAGAGTGTCAAACACAAAAAAGGAGGGGAGATAAGGACGATAGGTGATTGATAAGAAAGAAGAGTAAACCACACCAGAGCACCCGCCAACCACCAACGATGACCAACGATGAAGATCTGAAATTTGTTCTCATGCACAATAATAATAATCATAATGATCGTGAAAATTCATAGAGTGCCTAAATCCATGGAAGGCTCTAAGCACTGTACAGTGCAGAAACATCACTCAACTTATGAATCAAAGTAAGAAAATGCAGATTACAAGACCATTTAACAACAACAACACACACACACACAAACACATGCGCATACACAACTCTCAGATCCGCACACATTCTCACATACAAAATTTACTGGCAGAAAAGAGTGTTGAACAAATGTACTTTTAGTTAGACTTTTCTTAAACTCTCTCTCTCTCTCTCTCTCTCTGGTGGTATATTAGGCAGTACTTCTGGGAGAGAATTCCAATTTGGGCATAAGAAGAAAAAGCTTTTCCACCCAACTTATAAGACTTTTCTATAGGCACTCTCGTGAAATTCTTATCTGCAGATCTCAAATGTAAGGGAAAAAAAAGGCCAAAAAACTTTGAGCACAATGTATTTGTGTGGGTCATTGTCAAAGTACCTTGTTTTATAGAACAAGAAATGTACAAATAAACTGTCCACAATAAAAGAAGCAAAAAAACCCATTGCATTTGATGAAGATGAGCACAACATAAAGATTATAGTTAAAAACAGCATACTGTAACATCACTTAAACAGGAAAACAATTATGAAACCAACCAAGAGTGAATCAAATATCTCACCTCAAAGGTAGTCAACATATGTGAACACATCTGCTTCAGATCTTTAAAGCCCTGCTTCAAAACATCAATAGCTGGTTTGCCTGACAGTGAAAAGAACAAAATCGTGAAAAAAATCATTGGCTCAAATTTCAAGACTTCAGTGAAAAAAAAATTCATGTCAAATAAAATCAATCAAACAAATGTAATTGAGAAACACACCCATATAATGGTAATCTTTATCACAAAACGCTTGAGCAACTAAATGCTAAAAAAGTATAAAGAAAGAAATCACAGGACAATTTCTGTTTTTGAAAAAGAAGTTTAAGGAAGTGGTTTGAAATGAAACATAATGATAAAAATATAATAGCTTGACAACAACAAAAACAGAAACAACAGCTTTTAAGTATTGCACCTGTCTTAATGAGCACTTGAAACTTGTACAGTGGAAACCATAAATAACAGGCCCGGTAATAACAGGGATTTTTTAAATCCCCGTTTTTCCTACTCTTTGTCTCTATTAGAAGTTATCGGCAATAACAGGGCCCCATCGGATATAGCAGGGACAAAGGCTCATTAACAATGTGTAAAAAGAGAGAGAGAGAGAGAGAGAGAGAGAGAGAGAGTAACGCAGTGATGGAGCAAGCCTACGCAAGCCACGCCACTGCAAGCACACACAGCGGGTGAAGCGAGAGATGGCTGCGGTGTGCTGCAGACTTTGATCCAGCTCTAAGCCTAGCTACATGCACGCGTAATGTGTCATGCGCAGGGTACTTGTGGCAAGGGAAACTATCCATGAATAAGTACAGCTGGATTAGTCAAAAAATGCTTACTTCCCTTGCATTTCTAATTTAACAGGGATCTAATATAACAGGACTTTTTCTCTGGTCCCACCATCCCTGTTATATTAGGATTCCACTGTTCAATGCTTGTTTGCAGTGAGGGAGGGGCGGTGGTGGAGGGGAGAGCGAGAAATTTAAAGTGAGAAAGAGAAGTCAAAACTGGAAAGAAAAGGAAATAAATGTTGCTCCTCAGCAACTAACTCACCTGAAGTTTGGATCCTAAGATTAATCTTATTTTCAGAAGGATGGGTCAAGCTGTAGCCAACAAAAGTCACTTCAGGGCTGGAATCAAGGAGCAGAGAAAAGGTCTTAGAAAATCAGTAACCATGGACATAAACGTACAGAAAGTAAAGAATCAACACTTAAAATTAACTAACCTAGGTAGACCAAAAAGTATATCCTGACATGTCAGTAGTATGGATAAAAATGAAGCAGTTAATTGAAACATAATTAACAGTTGAAAGAAAACAGTCCAAAGATATGCCAAATGCACATAACACAAACTAAAGAGAAAACCTGTCTATAGCAGAACCATATCACTGGGGACTAACGGTCAAGAAAAAACAAAAACAAGTACATAAGCACCAAAAAGAACAGCAAATTTCTTCAGGATTATCAGTCCAGCACACACATAAGGAAACATGCTTGATGCAGATTTATCTTTCATTATGTGTATGAATTGAGCTGTATATACAAATTTCAGGCTATATCAAGTGAGAGAGACAAAAGTTGGATTTTCGACAAAGTCTACATGACTTCTACCCCATGTGCCACACCAAGAGGCATGTTAGTCCAATGGATTCATATAAAACAGTCACTTGGATGTTTAGCTGACTCCAACTTTTTTTACATTAAAACCCCTTGAGGAGGATCAGCTGTTTTTTTCCTTGATCAAAATAAATTTATAGTAGTAGTGTTTAATTACATCTATCCTCTTGGGCGCCAATTTTAATTTCATTTCGCACATATTGTTTATGCTGTGTGCGTGTACTGAATACAAAGTACAAAGAATATACGAGAAAAAAATTCAGGACCTGAAAATCTGTTCACTACGTACTATGTGTTTAGACTTGATCTATTGGTTACTGTCATGATGAAAGTAATTTTTCAACCACTCCACATCAATGTTTATTATAAACTTGAAACATTACTAAATGTAAACACATGGAGGCTCTTGTGGCCAAGAGGTTAAGGTGTTTGCATCTCATTCAAAGGTCCTGGTTTCAAATCCAGGTAGCGATTGAAAAATTTTCTTCTCTAAAGTTGTCTCCTTTCACATCCTTTCCTGCTTTCTAGCAATGTTCTGTCGTCTGCTTTCACCTCCACTTTCTTCCCCCATCCCCTCACCTCTTCCAACTCTTTCTGCAGCCTTTCTACTGGTACTCCATGGCTCCTTTTTACTGCTGTCTTTCAGCTGCACCCCTGATCTTCTGGTAGGAAAGATCTTAACCTAGCCTTCTCGGACAAGGGCGAAAAATCTCGGAAGTCCTGTGTGCAAGTTGTGCACATTAAAGATCCCTTGGTGGCAGGGTTGGGTTGATTTAAATCAGTTGATTTTTTAAAATTTAAATCAACTTGATTTTTTAAATAAAAATCAGTGATTTAAATCACTTTTTTTTAAAATTTATTTTTATTCAGTTTTTACATATTTCAACATTCAGAATTCCTTTCCTTGGTTTCATAAAACAGATATAAGGTTTAGTAGACTGATATAATCCAGGGTTGGGTTGATTTAAATCAGTTTATTTTTTTAAATTTAAATCAACTTGATTTTTTAAATAAAAATCAGTGATTTAAATCATTTTTTTAAAATGTATTTTTATTCAGTTTTTACATATTTCAACATTCAGAATTCCTTTCCTTGGTTTCATAAAACAAGGTTTAGTAGACTGATATAATCATGCTTAAAAGTCTGCTTTCCCCCCTTTCACAGTAAAATAATACAGTATTCAATTTACTTTTTTTTCCATAATTGAAATCAGAGCTGGGTTGATTTTTTTATATTTTAATCAACTTGATTTTTTAAATAAAAATCAGTGATTTAAATCACTTTCTTTAAAATGTATTCTCTTTTTACATATTTAAACATTCAGAATTCCTTTCCTTGGTTTTATTAAACAGATATTAGGTTTAGTAGACTAATGTAATCATGCTTAAAAGTCTGCTTTCCCCCCGTCACTGTAAAATAATACAGTATTCAATTTTCTTTTTTTTTTTTATTCATTATTGAAAACCAGGGTTGGGTTGATTTATATCAGGTCGATTTAAATCAGTTGATTTTTTTATATTTCAATCAACTTGATTTTAAAAATAAAACTCAGTGATTTAAATCACTTTTTAAAAATCTATCGTTTTTACAACTTTAAACATTCCGAATTCCTTTCCTTGGTTTTATAAAAACAGATATAAGGTTTAGTAGACTAATATAATCATGCTTAAAAGTCTGCTTTCCCCCCTGTCACTGTAAGTTGTAAAATAAGTATTCAATTTACTTTTTTTTCAATATTAAAATTAGCATTTTCTTTTTCTTTTTAGAAAAACACAAGCGCGCGCACACACACACACACACACAGTAATAAAATGCAAGTTTATCTAAGCATAATTACCCCCTCCCCCCGTTCCTTTTAGACTGACATTTTCTTCATTTTTTGTCTGTAGCCATAATTCACTGATATAGCAGATTAAGGCTTTCTCTTGCAGTTGCTTAAATTAATCATTAGTTAAAATAAAGACAATGCATTTTGCACTAAAAGAACATACTTTTATACACCAAAAATCCCAAACTGTGTCGACATTAAAAAAAATATATAAAAAATCCGATTTAAATGTAAAAAATCTGATTTAAACTTTAAAAATCGATTTTTTTAAAAATAAAAAAAATCACCAACCCTACCAACCCTGCTTGGTGGTCTAAAATCGAGAGTGGGTTTCGGCCGCCAACTGAAAATGTTTAATGTGTCCCGCGCGCTCATATGACCTCATGCAGGTGTGAGCGCCGTAAAACACTAACCAAAAAAAAAAAGAAGATATACACAGATTTGTTTTAAAATGCCTGCGTTCTACAAGATTCTTGTACTTACAAGCACAATATTGTGGACTTACTTTTTGTTTAAAATATATTTCAGGGCATTGCCAAGTGTATGGTCTTCATCATTCAGGATAAAAGTTTGACAACTTTCATCTCCACTGCTGTTCGCTTCCTGTGGTAAAAACAAAAACAATATGTCACCATGTGTGTGAATGACAGAACATATTTTCATTACTTTAATTACTAGGGTACACCATACTTTTCATAAACGTTGTTTGCAGTCACACTTGTACTGTGGCATTTCAGGAAATAGCTGTCACTGTAATGAGAAGTACAACTTCATGTTCATGTTCCCATGAAAATAAAATATTAAATGTATGCATTACATTTAGTTCACGAAAAATATTATATTTTATTTATAAAGTAAGTTCCCCATCACAGAAAAACCACTGGTAGCAACCCATTTCAGTTTCACAACATGTCCAAAGTGCTAATGCAACCCAATCGAGGTACTTGCTCACTTTCCACATGCAGGCCCAGCATATGAAAGAACCCATGATATATACATTCATTTAATAATGGCTCAGCCTCGGTAAAGAAATGGAGGGGAAAAAATGTAATAGGAGGCTATAAAACATCAAAACTGTGCAATGATGAGTCAATGAAAATGGCATGGTTATGGTTGTCATGATGAGTTGTAGTGGCAGTAACTTGTAATCTATTCCATGTAAGCCACTTGACTACTTGTAGTGTAGGCTAAATTACAAGAAAGTAATTTAAGTAAGTTTCTGTGTTACAAGTTACACAGAATAATAATTGACGGTATCTAATTATTAACATCCTATTGGTAGCCTACATGAACTAGAACTAGTAGTAAAGGTAAGCCTTGGCTGGCTTTATTTTAGTTTAAATGATAGACTTATAACTTTATACTAATAGAACAGTTATAATATAGGCTAGTCTTATTACCCTTCTTTTCTGACTTTTCAACTGATGATACTTTTAGTAAATTACTGATCATTAGTAGGTCTATTACTATTCTTAGTGACTACGATTACGGTGCCGTGAACGTTTGCAGGCTACGTTCACGGCATCCTGAATCATCTACAAATGGTATTATTGGCACAGTGGCATGGCTGACACGCAATGGTTGCTCAAAGTGAATGAGGAAACAGAACAGGAATGCTCGTGTGAAAAACAATGCAGTGGAGGTCCGAATGCAGCGGAGTTTATATGGAGGGCGAAGGCAGGCACAGCAAAACAGCCGCGGTCAATAAGGCCTTGCTTGTTCAGCGCGCGAAACACGACTTTGATCCTCTTCTCCTGTGCAGACCCGGCAATGCCTGACAATTCGAAAATAAAAGTTGTTCGAAGAAGGCCAGTTCTATTCGGAATCGAGTCTGAAAATAGGTTTTATCCAGGGTTGGTGATTTTTTTGATTATATCTGTTTTATGAAACCAAGGAAAGGATTCTGAATGTTGAAATGTGTAAAAACTGAATAAAAATAAATATTTAAAAAAGTGATTTAAATTACTGATTTTTATTTTAAAAATCAAGTTGATTTAAATTTTAAAAATCAACTGATTTAAATCAACCCAACCCTGGTTTTATCTATTCAGACTCGGGTCCGAAAAAAATGTTTTATTTATTCGGATTCGGCTTCTAAACTTTTATGTGAGTGTAAGGAAGATACATAATATAACTGTCGGCGAGGGACTTTGCGTAATACCAGAATGTGTAGCTTTTCTGCAATTAATTATTTTATAAATCACATCTCATAAAATCGACAGGCGTGGCCTTTTCCCAACACCTCTTCCCCCAGCAAGCCGAGAAAAAAATCATGGCCCATTATGATCATAGCTGTAGTTATTCGCACAGGGTGTGTGAATACTATGGAATTGTTATTCGCACAAGGTGTGCGGATACTATTAAATTTTATTAGCACAGGGAGTGTGAACACTGTGTGAATACTATGAAATGTTATTTGCACAGGGTGTGAGAATACTGTGTGAATACTATGAAATGTTATTCGCACAGGGTGTGTGAATACTATGAAATTATATTCGCACAGGGTGTGTGAATACTTCAAAATAATATAGGCACAGGGCTTTTCAAATAGAGGATGGCAATTAATTGGGCATCTAGGGCCTAGAATTTCCTCATTTTTTCCCCCTCAAAGTGCGGACTTTGCGAACAGAGTTGTAAACCCTACTTGTGTGAAAAACAAACAAAAAAGTGAAATTAACAGACTGTGCTTATCCTATTCTTCTTCTGAAGCAACACGCAGACTTCTGCAAACATTTTTCGGTTTGAGTGAACAATCTTGTTGTGCTGTCTTTGGTGGGGATCGATCTAATTCTAATTGTGCAATGCGATGTAACGACAACCCCCCCCCCCCCCCCAACTCAAATTGGAATTCAAGATGTGTATTGTGTCAATGAGAAATCTCTATTTTTTTGTTTTGTTTTACTTGCGCCTTGAGAGAGAAGAGAGAAAGAGAGAGGGGGAGAGAGAGAGTGAGAGAGAGAGAGAGAGAGAGATGAGTGTTTTAACCCTAAGACTGAAACAAGTATGATATATTATACTAGAGATCTAGATCTAGAGTACAGTTGTTCTATTTAAAGCCTGTGCCAAAAGGTGGGATACCCGGGTGTGACAAACAAGGTCCAAAATCAACGTAGGCTCGACCCTGTGCGAATAGAATTATTCCTTACGCAGTGGCTATTTTTACGGCGAGCCGTAAAGATAGCCTCCCAGTGAGTCCCAGGCTATTTTTACGGCGATCCTCGAAAAGCGACCCTACTCCGCCTCTCATGTACGCGACATGCCTCAATGTATTAGATCTAGGCCTATAGGGGCCGTTCAAAATATAAACTTACACCTCAGAGGGGAAAGGGTGTCTTTGGCTTCTGTAAGAAAAGTGGAAGATTGGGTGGGGAAGTTAACCAAATATAACACTTCTGTGAGATGAACGTTTTGCTCATGACTGGGAAGAAAAGGTGAAAGAAAAAGTGGATAAATGCCAGTAACAAGACCCAGATCTGCATGATCACTGCAGATCCCCGTTGTTGTTGTGTTTTTTTGGTTTTGTTTTGTTGTTTTTTAGAGGGGGGGGGGGGGGGGTTACAAATAATTTTGAAATTATGATGAAAATTCTGTCGGTGGATATCTAATTTCTTAATGTTTCTTTGTAACTTTGCAACTGTTTTGTTGATCTTTTAGTGTCTTGATGTCTTTTATTTGTAAGGCACGTACCTATTGCATTGACAACAGTCTCAATGTCTTCCACATATATGCGTTCTTTCTAGTTCATATGGTTTGATTAAATTGTATTAACTGAAATGTTCTTTTTACGGCGGTCACAAACTGATGACGTAGAACACGTTTTTCAGTCTTATAAATTCCGTCTTGGCTTGTAGGTCTTGTAGGCTACTACCCTATTTGTTATTTTATACATTTTACTAAATGACTAAACTAATGTAACATACTTTGAGCTGGTTAAAACCGAGAGTAAGGCACTATAATTAAATGTCCTCTATTATTAGTATTATCATAATTATAGTCTTTATTCTGGACTTAAACAATTCAATGTTTTTATGTTCTTTACTAGGACCTTGTTGTTGTGGGATTCTTTCAAATAATAAAATAGATCGCATTTTTTTAGTTTTTGTGTTTTTTTTCTGATTTGCTCATATTATTACTGTCCTTTTTTACGGGGAACAGCTCACCCCAAGGGTGATTCTTTTTCCGATTCATATTTAGGAAAAAAAATTATGCGCGCATAAGAAATTATGAAGAAAGTAAATTTTGATAAGTCGGAAAATATGAAAGTTGCCATGGAATGGAAACAGCACCAACATGCAAAACAAAGAATAATTTTAAAAAACCGAAAGCTTCTTACTCTCTAACAAAATTGCATGAAAATTGGTGGAATGGTAGATACAGATACAATGGTCAATCGTACTGAGCAAAATTTTGATATTTGAATGTAAAAAAATATATGTGTTCCTGTAGCCTGAAATTGCATCACAATAATTAATAAATTAATCATTGTGAACACACAAAAATTTTTTTTTACACCTCTATCAAAAATCTGCTCAGTGCAAATTATAAGGAAGGAGGAACATTTTAAAGGCATTACCAAGGCGAAAAGTGTTAACTTCAAAATGGCCGCTCTTCTTGTGGGTGTGGTACATGTAGTGATGTCAGTGAATGAGATGATGATGCTGGCATTGGCAGTGATGATGGTAATGATAGTGACGAGGAGGTGATGGTGGTGGTGATGATAAAGAGAGGGTGAATGATGATGGTGGGGAGAAGAAGGAAGAAGTGGTGGTGGAGGAAGGGAGAAGGAAGATGAAGAAGAGAATAGAATGACGGTGAAGAGGAGGAAATGGAAAACATATGGGGCTGTTCAAATATAATCTTACACTTTTGGGGACTTTTTTAAAACACAAAACCCAATACCACTTTTCTCACATTTGCCTCCAACCCCCACCTACACCAATTTAATATTACTACTTTTTCCGATCTTCAATTTCTATTATTATTTTAAAGATACCTGTACTATATGTGGCTTTTTTTAACTAGCTTATAAAAAAAAATATCATTTCAGTTAATACAATTTAATCAAACCATATGGACTAAAAAGAAACGCATATATATGTGGAAGACATTGAGACTGTTGTCAATGCAATAGGTACGTGCCATACAAATAAAAGACATCAAGACATTAAAAGATCAACAAAACAGTTGCAAAGTTACAAAGAAACATTAAGAAATTAGATGTCCACCTACAGAATTTTCATCATAATTTCAAAATTATTTGTACCCCCCCCTAAAAAAAAACCCCAACAACAACAACAAAAAACAAAAAAAACAACGGGGATTTAGAGTGATCATGCAGATCTGGGTCTTGTTACTGGCATTTATCCACTTTTTCTTTCACCTTTTCTTCCCAGTCATGAGCAAAACGTTCATCTCACAGAAGTGTCATATTTGGTTAACTTCCCCACCCAATCTTACACTTTTCTTACAGAAGCCAAAGACACCCTTTCCCTTCTGAGGTGTAAGTTTATATTTTGAACGGCCCATATAGGCCTAGATCTAATACATAGAGGCATGTCGCGTACATGAGAGGCGGAGTAGGGTCGCTTTTCGAGGATCGTCGTAAAAATAGCCTGGGACTCACTCAACTCACTGGGAGGCTATCTTTACGGCACGCCGTAAAAATAGCCTGGGAGGCTATCTTTACGGCTCGCCGTAAAAAATAGCCACTGCGTAGTATTTCTTATTCACACACCTGGGTGTGAATAATATTAGGAAGAGGCTAGCCGTACTTAATGACGGCTAGACTGGCAGTCTAGCCGTACTTATTCTTAATATGATGGCTAGACTGACTATTTACAAAAAATAGGCCTACTGAATTGTAAATATACATTTTTAGTGTGCAGTACCTAAAGTATTTGTGTATTTGAGACGAAACCAGGTGCCTTAATGACAGTGCATGTATTTTAAACCTCCTGTTTTCTAATGTTAATAGGGCCTAAGATAAGTACGGGTAGACAGCCAGGCTAGCCGTACTTAAGGACGGCTAGACTGTCAGGCTACCCGTACTTAAAATATTGATGGCTGAATTGTAAATGAAATTTTTAGTTTGCAATGCCTAAAGTATTTGTATTTCAGACAAAACCAAAAGGTGTCTTACTGACTTGCATGTATTTGAACCTGCATAATTACTAGATTATCTAGATCTATATCTAGATCTAATGAGACCTGTGTACTTAACAGGCTTGAGTCGATAGGGCCAAACCTAGATCTAAGTACGGCTAGACTGGCAGTCTAGCCGTACTTAAAGACTCTCAGTCTAGCCCCGTACTTATTAAGTACGGCTAGCCACTTCGATAATATTAATTCTTATTCGCACACCCTGTGTGAATAATCACTTCCTATGACTAGAATCTATAATCTAGATTTTTAGATCAGTTCTAGATCTAGATCTAGATCTAGATCTAGATCTAGATCTAGATCTATATAGATCTAGAGTCTACATCTGATCTCTAAACTCTAATCATGACATGATGATGTTATGATTTAATTTACAAGAAAATTGGGCCTAGAATTAGAATATCTCTACGTACCACTTCTAAAGCAGGTGCTTTTGATTGAGTGCTATGGCTCGTCATTTTCAGAGTTAAAATGCTGTTGCAGCTATAAAGGACTAAAAAATTGGCCTAATCGTTGCACTCCACAAGTTGAAGGAAGTAAACTCGAAATCGTGTTCTCTCCACTATTCCATGCTTCTTTATTGTGGAAACAGAAAAACAGAGTGAGAGTAACTGCCCTTTTGCATTTTGGTACTCTCTCTCGCTTTGAAATACAAATCTAACTTTTCTTTTTTCCTTTTCGTCCTTTTCCAGGAAATATTATTATAATTATTTAGTCCATCCAAGAATTTTGTTCTAAAGGAATTTCATGGGTCCACCAACTTCATAACATACAGTTCTCATATATTCATAAATGGCTAAGTTTTCAAAATGAATTAAAGTTCTGTGAGTCACACCATCGTCATATCCTACCTTAATTAAGAAAAAATATTTCAAAAGCCACAGGATACCAGACAGTATGGGAATGCCTATGGCACGGAAATCAAAGTACATGTACGTGTACCCCTTTCCCCAAGAAATACACATTTTAATTACATAAAAACACAGGCTCAAACATATTTTCCCTTTCTGTGTCTTTGTGTCTCTCTGTGTCTGTGTGTGTGTCTCTCTGTCTCTATCTCTCTGTCTCTCTCACTCTCTCTCTCCGCCCCTCTTTCTTTCTCTCTCTCCCTCACACTCACAAACACACACACACACACACACACACACACACACACACACACACACACACACACTCACACACACACACTAACAAACGCATGCATACAAAATCTACCAAACCTCTTTCCTATCAACTCCTTGTTCCAAAGGCAAAGGGAATTCCTTTACTTCCCAATTCCCCACCGGTGATCTTTCTCACAACTGCATCCCTTTCCTCCTTTTCAACCCTTAAAATCTAAAATGATAAATTTTTTGTGTTTTCCTAAGCTAGCTGCATATTGAAATTTGAAAAAGAAAAAAAAAGAAAAAGAAAGAAAAAGAGCGAGCGTGTATGTGACACAGAATTCTACACGTAGGCTAGTACTAGTAGAATTCTGAATTACCTGGCCAATATTGGCTGTTGATGGAGACTGGAGAGATGTCCGATAATTTGCCAGGGTGGCGGTAATTCCGTGCGCCATGTTTACATTTTACGCGATTCCACAACACAGAGCTAAGAGGACTGACATCAGACTGTTATCATCACTAACTTTTATGTTAATAGGCGCTAGTACTACACTCTGAACTTAGCTCGTTAAAATTTCTGTTCTCAAACGGGTGAGAAAGATAAAGTCGAAGTGGCGAATTTGTCAACAAAGTTCGAGATTATTATCATTATTTTTATTTTAAAATAGCAGTGTCAATACGATTTAAAAGGAACCGGCCGGTAATGATAATGTTGTCAAACCTGCCTGTGTAAAACAGCCACCCATTGTCATGGAAAACAGGTGGCCGTCTTAGACAGGTCTGATCAAAATGAAGAAAGTAAGTCATTCTCTTCTGAGGTCCAAATCGGGGCTTCTGAAGACTTTACACAGCCGTAGTAAGGTGAGTAAGTTCAAAAGGCAGGGTTTTTGTTTTCTTTGATTTTGAAAAATTGGAGTGGGTGGTGTCTGGTGTTAGAAGTTTTTTTTGTGCTATTGATTTGTTGATTTGTTTTTGGATAGCTTTCTCTCTGTTGCTGATTTTGTGCAAAGGTAAAATAAACGAAATAGAATGTAAGTAAGACGATGAAGATCGGGTGCCATGGTAAAACAAATAATATGGGTCGCCACCACTCAGAGAACGAGCGACGCTTCTCTGTCACAAGCTCGTCAACGTCTATTGTTACTTTGTTACAGATTAGGTAAATAAAACAGTGAATAGTCACTTCACACTTGATTTGTTCATGAGTTGTGCGCAGGGCTTTTAGGTTATGACGTTTCCCTCACGAGCAGTTGAAAATTTATTTTTAAGCTTACCCATTGTTCAACTTGGGTAAACATTCATTGGAGGGACTAACAGTAACGAAAGATGAATGAATTTTGACGGCCTGACCACAGCTTGAGGGGCTAATTCAAAATTTATATGACAAAGCATTGGGCAATGAGTGACCACGCCTGGCTGCCTTAGGCAGGTAAATTTGACCGTGGGTTGATAAAATAAGGTAACCGCGGCCGCGTTGGACAGGTGACAGTTTTACACAGTGAAAATAGGAATAAAATGCAAGGGCGAACATGGAATGTATAATGATATGGAAGGACTTCCGTAACGAACGACCACCCCAACAAACAGAAAAGAAGAGACCTAATAACTAGTGGCGGGGCGCAATTGGTGCAAGCGCTCCACCTACCTTTAACCCTAGCCCTCACCCTCTCCCCCTCCCCTTTTTTTCTAATTGTTCTAAACCAGTCAGTGCTCTAGATCTACATTAGGCCTACTACATCCGTCACCCGCTGGCCGCGCCAGTGAAGACAGAGGGTGAGGATGGTTTATAATGCTCGTCGCACTGCTTGCGGTTGTGTCTGCTGTGAGCAAGGAAAATCTTTTCACCAAAGTTATTTTTGTCACTGTAGAGAAATCTAGGCATCGTTCTTCCCGCACAAGAAGAAAGGTGCATGATGAAATTGCTCTTCGCAGCACCAATTTGGTGCAAGCTAAAAATTTATCCAAGTTTCCACTAGCCTGTCTCTACTACTCTAGTAGAGTCTACGGCAAGGACCTTACTCTTACTGTAATCTCCTTGGTCTACGGTGACTCAATGAAGAATGGGTATCGAAACTGTTGTCTCCCTCTACTGTGAAGCAAGTCCTGGGGCTGTACGAAGTAATTAGAAATCTTTCAATCTTTTCAGATTGTGAACATAGTGAGTTGTTAGTATTGTTTCACTTTATTGCAGCTTTTGGTTTCATCAAGAAACAGTTTGTATCGATAGATGTAGATTATGGGATATCCTGTACAGATTCTAACTGACTTTCTCTAGAAATCTAATAGTAGCAGTAAGCCTATTGCCCATTTGCTCACTTTTCAATTGTGCACCACCTTGTCTGTATCCCGCATGACGCCACTGAACTTAACCCTACCCCTCCCTATCCCTCTATTCTACTCTGTCTCATATGGTCGCTCGTTACGAAAGTCCTCCCAATAATACCGTAGAAGAATAAAATCAGGCGTATAACGCATTACTGTTACAACGAGTTAAACCCCGTTATACCGCCTACCATGAAGTTGGCAACACAGCGGGGCTGGCGGTATACAGGATTGTACTGATTGCCATCTTGACTAGTGATAGACTGGTAGATACATTATTTAGACTAACCGGCCAGTCTTGATTCATTTAAGTCTTAATTTTTCACTTTTGTCTTGCATGATACCCATGGCCCCTGTGCAGTCTCCAGCTGAACTTAATTCTCATGTAAATTCAAACTGAAAGTGCCTGCTAGATCAAAAGCTGAGCTTTAATGTGTAAAGGATCACCTGTAGACGTACATTTTAAAAAAAATGTTTTACCCGATACTCGTCTTGGCTTTGTAATTGTACCTCTACCGAAGTAGTTCACTTTTTCTTCCTCATTTCAGCTTTGATCCTGTAGGACTGACAGATCTCCCCCATTCTCCGCAGTCTTGGCTACTGTGGTAATATCTCAGTATGAACGAGGGGGCAGAAGACTTCCCTGACTCTCGGGGCAAAGAATCTGTTTTAGTGAACAGAAAAGTAAAAAATCTACCCGTGACCTCCTTCATGATCCTCAACAATACATTGAAAAATAGAAAGATCGTGAGAGACCAGGACGTGGCGGTACCACAGCAGTGGAGGTGGAAATGGCTTCACGAGAGAGTCTCTCTCGAAGGGACTCCTCACCTCTACGGGGATGCTTTTGTTAAGGTTTGTGGTGGAACTCTTTGTTGTATATTTATCAGTAATCTGTATTGATTTTGAAATATTTGGGGGTTTTTTTGCTAAGTAGTTAATAAAACGTAGTCAGCTTTGTCAAACTCTTTGTCATGACTTATAAATACTCACCGCACAGTCTTAACAGTTTTCCCTCCTATTTGAATTATTCCAGTTGAAATGGCCCCAATTAATTTCAAAGAAAAACAGAATACAGAGGTGGTTATGTTGTTAAACAGCATTATGAGATTTTAAAAGTAAAAAAACTAAGGAGGAATTTTTAAAAAAGAAAAGAAGCAGGACTTACTCAGGGTGCCTTTGAGCTACCATCACTAGCCCTATTCAATCTTGTTAGACTCTGATGAGTTTGGTCAAAACAGGGATGTTTATCAATGTCTGTGATGTTGGTGAAGTACTCTGCCTTTTGATGTGAGCTTGAGTTGTAAATTTGTGTGTGTTTTAAAGTGTGTATGCTGAAGTTTTTAAACAGTAGAACATGACTATAGCGGCACCCGCTACAGCGGGATCATCCGTACAGCGGGACGTTACCGGGATCCCCGTTTATTTTCTTCTATGTTAACTCAATTACCTGAGCTCAGGTTTAGCGGGGCAAGGAAAGGCCCGAACTCGGATGCAGCGTGAGAGATCGGGCGAGCTCTAACTGGGGGGAAGGGTTTTGGGGGGCTGTAGGTCGGCTCCAAACAGGCAGTCTGCAGTGCGGCGTTGTGATTGGCCAGTCCAGTGATGAATTAGGTGGGGCAGGCGGCAGAGAGAGATGCTGCAGAGAGACGCATTGAGTGAACCACTCCAGAAGTGATGTGCCGTAGCTTAGACGCTCAGTATGAGAACGTACCTTAGCCCTAGGCTTAAGCTAGGCCAAAAAAAGAAAAGAAAAGGAGATCGGGTAGTGTGTGATTCCTGATTCATTGAATTGCGATCGCTTGATGCTCAGAGGCATACGCACGCATCCACTTCACTAGTTATCTACAGTAGGCCTACCGGTATGACTGACAGCACAAGCAACGGGACAGAGGAAAAGACGGCTTCCAACAAAGACAAATGGAAATGCTTCTCACGCGAATTAAGGACCGAGATAATCAAGAAGTTGACAATAAAAGAAAGAATAATCTAAAGTGCAAATTTTATTGATATGGAAGGGAGGTAATCATGTGGATTAAAAGAAAACTTCCAGTAATTTCCCCTTTGCATTCCTATAGCGGGAACTCACCTACAGCCGGATTTTGCTTCAAGAACCCAAAGTCCCGCTATAGCTGTGTTCTACTGTTTGTATGTGTTAACAGGATAATTTGTCACTGATGTGTATAAAATCCCTCCTCTTTACCACCTTCCAATAAAATTAAGCGGTAGGTCCTCCTTCTGTCTGTGCTTTCCCGCTACTGTCTCAATCATTCGCCCCCTCCCTCGCATTTAAAAATTATTATTGTGTTAATGTAAGATCTTTGCTTCTTTTTACTCGAGACCATAAAATGTTGCATTTTATTCAACACTCAGGTGGATCAGCCAGGCTTTGTTTTGTGCCGATGGTGTGTGGCTGGCATCAACTACAGTCACCGTGGGAGGACGGCACTGGCCGATCACGTCAAGAGTAACAAACACATGGAAGAGCTGGCAGTGAGGACTGACATAGTAAGCCCTACTGTGACATGCTCGTTGTTTAACCCTATCCGTATGTTATGTTTTACTATCGTTTCCATACGACATGTGGAACTCTGTGCCACCACTTCCAAAGAGGAAATATACTTGTTAATCCAATCCGTACGCTTTGCAGAGCAGTCTGTCAAAATGATTTTTTGAGAAATACTGAAAGTTTCAGAGATCTTCGTACTAGAAGTATTCTAAAATGTGAAGAATACAAACCCGGGGGTACAAAATGACCACAGGGCGTACGGATAGGGTTAAGTATATCTACTTTGACTGTTAGAATTGTGACTGTTAGAAATTATGTATTGCAGTTTCTGTGGTGCCCATAATGGTCCATGGTGCCAGAACTACCATAATTATTCACTTCCTATTATCTTCCATGCTGTATCGAGCATAGGCTTCCACCAAACCCTGACAAGTCATCATGGTCCTTGGCCAGTCTCTTCAGCTGTAACTGGGAGTGTCCGGTCCTCTTTGCCTGTTTATCCACATCATGGTGTCCGATTTTCTTTGACCTTTCTCTTTTCCTTTTCCCTTGTGGGTCACAGGCTAACTTGTGTTAATGACTCCCCTTGCACTTGGGTAATGAGTTTTCATAACTCTTCTTCAGCCACGCAGGTCTGCCCTATGGGAGATGGACGTTAGATTTAGAGGCTGCACCTATAAAATAATCTTTAAGGGCTGAAAGGGTCAAACAAATAATAGTGACCCAAAAAGTTACCAGTTATTACCAAAAAAACCAAAAGTTTAATATGTGTCATATGGTGACTATATGTAGAGTTATCTCTTGTTTTGTAAAAAGAAATCATGTACTTTATCAGAAATTGTTGAAAGTGTAGCCTTTTCTTGCTTTCATTAATTTTTTTATTATTTTTTTTTTAGACAGGACGAGTCAAAAGTGAACGAGATCTACCTGATTTGGAGGACAGGGTTGTGGAAATGGAAGTAAGTAAAAGAATGTCAAAATAGCATTGTGAATGAAGCATGTGGGTTGGGATTTGGGTTATAGATGTGTGCCACTTTGTAATTTCATGGAGCCGAAAGAGTCTTGATATAAGTGTGGAGTTATATATATAGTTGTAGGTTTCTGGTTTTTCTTTTATTTCATTTGTCAGTGTTTTTGTTTTTTTTATTTTAATTTCTCTTCTGTCCAGTAATAATGTTTTTTCAACCCCCCCCCCCTCCCCACCTACTTCGAGACGTTACCACTTTCAGATATAAAAGTTCCCCCCCCCCCTTCCCCAACCTTGTACTAATTTCTGCACTGGGTGGGTTAGACTTTGGGCATGCTTTAAGGTAGGAATTGTGGCATTGTCTTTGGATTTTCTGGAAATCTCAAATGCTGGTCATGCAGGTACAGACCAGTCTTTAGGCTCTTCATCATCACACGCAAAAGATGTGGTCTCAAAGCACACGTGGGGAGATTTTTTAGTCAAGTTCAAGTATCTGTGGCTGTCTGCAGGACTGTTATGTCCCTCTCAGCCTGAGTTCGCCCTGATAAGCAAGGTTGGCGCAGCCGCCTTATGATCCATATTGTGTCGATGGGGGTGTAATACACATAGATTGCAATTACAAATGCTGGTCTGTGGTCTTTCAGGATAATGAGCCCCTCAATCCTCAAGATGAAAATGTGCTCAGACTGACAGGAAGGCATTTTATCTATAAAATTCCACCCACTACAAAGACTAGGCCTCAAAAACGTTGCCGTGTGTGCATCAAAAAGGGGAAGAGGAAGGACAGCCGTTTCTACTGTCCTAGCTGCCCCTCAAAACCAGGATTGTGTCTTGAACAATGCTTTGAGGACTACCATACAAAGGACAGATATTATTAACACCTTGCAAGTGGAGGAGTAGGTCTGTTTTCTGAATACAGTACAACACGGATAGCTCGAATTCATTAGGACCGGCCTTGGTAGTTCAAGGGATCCATAGTTCAAGGGATAAGTGAACAGTTTTATGGCATCGGCTGTGTCAGAGAATCAAGGGAAGCAACAAAGATTGCTACTTACTGCCCTTTGACTAGTAAGAGCGGTAGAAATGAGTGCAGTGTAAACCTGATATAACAGGGACGGTGGGATGAGAGAAAAAGTCCTGTTAAATCAGAAATGCAAGGGAAATAAGCATTTGTGGACTAATCCAGCTGTATTTCTTTATGGGTAGTTTCCCTTGTCACAAGTACCCTGCGCTTGACACATTACGCAAGCGTGTAGCTAGGCTTAGTAGGGCTAGATCGAAGTCTGCAGCACACTGCAGCCCTATCTCACTTCTCCCGCTGCCTGTCCTTGCAGTGGAGTGGCTTGCGGGGGCTTGCTCCATCACTGCGTTACTTTTTACACATTGTTAACAAGCCTTTGTCCCTACTATGACCGATAGGGCTCCGATGAGCCCCTGTTATTGCCAATGACTTTGAATCAAGACATGTAATCGAAAAAAACAGGGATTTTAAAAAATCCTTGTTATTACCGGGCCTGTTGTTATATATGGTTTCCACTGTATGCAGTTGGTACTGGTAGTCTGTACATTTTCCCTCCCTCCAGCGGGGCCAGCGATGAGCATGATGGTAATGAGAAGCAGTAGCAGGGTAGACTGGAAGAGTTTGCTCTTGTTATGCTTTGTTTCTAGTTGAAGTTGAAGCCATGGTGAAATGAAAAATGGGGTGCTCCATTATGTGTGCTTGTGTGTCGAGCAGTGCACTAAAAATAGCACAGCTAGCTGCTTCTGTGGACGGGGGAAGGTGGTATTTTACCAGCCTTGCCTTTTTCCCAGTTCAAAGAAAAATTTAAACATGTATGATTATTATTTTGTCTCAAGTGCACCTCAAAGGACATCGACTTTCGACCTCTACAGTTACGTAATTGTTTTGACTTTTCCGTGTTTGGGTTCGAGCTTTGGGTAATTTTCTTACAAAGATATATAAAGAAGAAGAAAAAACCGAGACAGCAGGCACAGTTCGACATGCGTGATCTAGTCTTCTGTGTTCGACCTATCCGTGTTATACTGTATTATTTTTGTTGTATTGTGTATTTACATATATACTAACCAGCGAAGCATGCTTTGTCAGGTTATTTTTTTCTAATAATTTTGACTTCAACATTTTGAGTTTGACATGTTTTTGTTTTTGCGTTTTTATTCTCAACAATGCTACTGATTTGTGCATGCTGTTACTGTAGTCTTGATTATATTATGAGAAAACTAATACAGTGTTCTCCGACTAAAAGTATGCACCTCACATGACATGAAAAGCGGGCTCTTATCCAAACATGCTATTAAGTGAATTTCGAAGGGGAGTAATCTAGAGTATGATAAGCGTTCTGTTAAATTTCTTTGATTTGATTATTGTGAACCACCTCACATCTGATCTCCTGCAGTAGATTGAATCTTTGAGCTGAATAAAGTTTTACTACAATAAGCAGTCTCAGATTACGATCATCATAATTACAACATAACAACTCGCACTGGCTTTCCTCATTGTGTAATTCTGTCTCACACCACGTTCCTATGTCTTTTTCTCCCTGGCAAAGCAACAATTTCAAGTACGAAAGGAGGGCATGTGTTGTGTTTGCTTTGCTTCAGTCTGTTCAAAGTTAAATGAGTCATTTTTATGTCTGATCCTTTTCTGACACCTGCTGAACAGAGATCAGGCTACTATTAGATGGGAGTTGTCAGCTTGGAATGTGCACTTTCAAGTGATAATTATATATAGAGAGAGAAAAAAATTTGGTTCCTCGCTGCCAGTGAACTTTAAGGCTATTCTGATTCATGCTTTTACTCAACTTACCAATAGCTTGAGACCACTGTACTGGGGTCCCCATTTTGAAAATACTCATACCAGTACGGTACTAGTACTAAAGTCAGTGCGAGTTTGTAAATCTGTCTACAGTTGTTATAGTAATGGTAGTCCTTGCACCTGTGGCCTATTGTGAAGTAAAAACCTTTGTTATAACTTACACATCTCACATGTGGATGTAAAATGTTCACATTTAATTACAAAATTATACTTATGTCACACACACTGCCTCTCTGGGTGGTAGAGATATTTTCCTCTTACTGACATCATATATTGTAAAAATATAATACTGTATTCAACAGGCGCCACCAGTGAGTCCTTCTTCTTGCCCCTCTTTCTCTCTATTGTTTCTACTTTCTACCTTGCCTCTTCCTTGCACTAGGTGCTCGTTATCATGTCAATGTGCTCTTTTAATCAAAACCGCAGCCAACAGTGATATCAAATGCAAATTTTGAGTGGAGTTCCACCCTCCCCCCTCCTTTCCCTCTATATTTTTTTTCAGGTTACCATCTGATTGCAGAACACAACTTCGTATCCCCTGTTATTTTATCAAATCTAAATCTTTATACAATTTTTTTATATTTCCTTTTTTTTGGGGGGTCTTAATAATATGATCTGCAAGATTATTGCTGAACCATGCTTGCCATCTTCAGTTATCAAATACAGTCGGGCACTCAAAATGTCTGGGAATACATTTACAATGTAGCCTATATGTGTTTTACACATGAAATTTCTGTAAACCATATAGTAAAATATTAAAGAGAGATCAGGAGGGGAAATGCAGCTCGTACAAGCTGTCCATGATTTAGAGGTTTATGTTCAATTATCTGTGCCCTACTGTACGTCATGTACAAATTTTTGTTGAATGGATTGGAGCTTTTTTCCTTTTTCTCCTCTTTATTTTTCTAGGTTATGGTCTGTTTTGTAGTCGCTGAGCACTACCTAATACCTTTCTTCTATAATTTCCTTTTTTCCCAGGCAATGATCCGCTCCGTGATTGCGGAACACAACCTTCCTTCCTCCGTGGGCCCGCTGTTTGTGGACCTGGCCCGTCAGTGTTGCCGAGATCCGGAGGCACTTGCCAAAGTGGACTTGGGACATGCTCATCATTGCTACAAGGTTGTTGTAGACGTGGAGGGAAAGATTTCCCCTCAGACTCTGCTGTCACTCCATTCGAAAACACTGTCCATAAATATCACAGAGTTAAGTGACTTGAAGATAACTGTGTGTTTGGACAATGATTTCTCTAATGATGTTCAGGGTAATGCGGCAAAAAGTATAATTAACGACGGTTCGTCAACAGTGAAAGATAAGACTCATGGTAGTAACCAAGATTCATCCAGAGAGAAAAATAATGGTGATAAAAGCAGTGTTAAAAATGCTGATGAAGAAGATTGGTGTTTTGCTGTGATAGTGAACAGTGTATCGGGGAATGACGCCAAAACTTTGGATATTTTTCACTTGGCAGACATTCAGGCCAGAAGCATTGACTCCAAGATGATGTTTGAGGCGCTGTGTGAAGTCTACTCGCACTATGAAATGTCCTGGGCCAATGTTTTGTCTGTCATGTGGGAGTCAGCAGCCGTTGAAGACTCTCAGCGGGTAGACCTTCTGAAAATGATTCGGGAAAACAAATGTCCTCATGTGAAGGATGGGGCATATGCGAAAAATACTATGGCGCTAAATTTAGAAAAGCAGAAGCTCGCGGAAAATCGACACAGCGCCAAGTCTATATGGAATGGAGAAGTCGTGCAGTGGTCATCCCCTGTATCTGTTCCCAATCAGCAGAGGGCAGTGCACAATGCTGCACTGCCTGGCATGACTTCTGCGTCTCTGAACGGATGTCAATCTCTGGCCCAAAAGTCTTTACAACTTCTCGACTCCCAAGGTGCTGTTGCTACAAACAGCTCTCGGCCCCCGTCAGATGTGCCTAAGCTTGTAATAGACTTTCAGGGTGCACAATTCCAGCGAAATCTGTCGCAGCAACAACATCATGTCTCTCAACAAGCAATACTTCAGAACTACCCGTGTAGCGGACCGATGGTGGTGCACATAAGCAGCACTTCTTCCAGTGCCCTCAATGATGGTGGAATGTCGTGCCAGGCCTCTGCTCAAGGCATTCAGGCAGGCACTGCTGGAAATCTAACAACATTTTCTGGAAATTACACTCAGCAGCAGTCAACGCAGATGAACATGGTGGCTTCAAGCACTTGCCCGACATCTCACTCTCAACACTACTCCATTCTAGGCCAAGACCCACTGGAAGATTTGGCGTCTGTTGCACAAGAACATGACTGTACATCACTAGGTATTCAGACAGCTGCTCAAGGACTCCAGGCCCTGTCTCAAGGTTTTCATGGTGTAGGCAGCAGCAGCTATGCCATACGGGGATACCAGCAACAACAACAGCCTCTGTCCCACGACCCACAAGGGCCTCCATATCAACAGATGCCTCACTCACAATAATATGTTGATGAAGTTACGGTCTGACCATGTAACTGGTTTCTTAAAAAGTTTTCAGCAGGCTACATTAAAAGGTTTTGATTTTTAACCCTATCCGTATGCCCTGGGGTCATTTTGTACCCCCCAGGGTTGTATTCTTCACATTTTCAAATACTCCTAGTGTGAAGATCTCTTTGAAACCTTCAGTATTTCTCAAAAAATCATTTTGACAGACTGTTATGCAAAGGGTACGGATCCGATTAAAGAGTAAATGAAGGGGTGCATCACAAAAGACGTTATTCAACATTTTTTTTAAAAATGAGTTACCGCCCTCCACTTGTTTAGGCGGGAAAGCTCTACCTGCCTCATGTTCGTTGTTTCCACCACAGAGAGCATTAAATTATTCCACCAATCAGATGAAACATTGGACCAATCAGAATTCAGTATTTTATCAACATCCGGTTCACACCGCTAACTGGGCTCTCACTGGGGCGAAGTGGAAAGCTGTGACACCCGTTAACGGTATTAAAATAATTTTTTGCCTTTTCAAAGTGCTACAAGTACTTTTTATGATGAATGCATTTGACGGCACCCTTGAAGATGTCAGTTTTAGTATCGGTGGGCAGAGGAAGCGTGCTGATAATTTAATTGGTCGCATGCTCAGGAAAAGGTGAAGTGAGCCCATCATTCTGCTGGTGGAAAGGTCGCAACAATAGGCTACAGACACGACTCATTCAAAAGTTTTTGTAAAGCAGATGTTCTGACTCCAGAAGACCTTGTCTTGAACCAAGCCCGATTTTATGAATCATGCTACAAGGTAACTATTTAGATCTAAATCTAGAATCTAGATATAATACGGATATTCCTCAATTCAGAGGTAAAACAATGTAGAGCTAACTTTCAACTTTTTGCAATTTTTTAATTATAAGTTTTGTTGACTTTTCTTAACTAAATTGTATTACACTTAATGCTGTGATGTTAGCCGCATTCACCATAGAATCCAATGTATACTGTAAAGCTTTGGATCCAATGATAAGAACTGCATTTTAACCCCAAAATTTTTTTATGGCATTTTGTGAAACGCAGTTTTCTCGTTTTTTAAGCATTTAAAAAAAAAATGAAAATAAAGTGGCTGATTATGTTTAGGCCTAATTATCTTCAGACTGATTTCATTGAGTTAATGTTTTGAAGTGTTTCAAGTTTCACGGATGTACTTTTTAATTGTGTGAAGAATTTCGATTCATTTGTTGTCGTTTGTCTGTAAGAAGTTTTTCACATTTTTCTCAGATTGAAGAAAATGTTTTCAAGGCATTTTGTTATGCGTCCCTTCAAATATCCTCTTGGAAAGTGGTGGCATAGAGTTCCCCATGTCGTATGGATACGATAGTAAAACGCGACGTACGGATAGGGTAAAGTTAAATGAAGACGGAGGACAAGCCCCGGTAATTTTATGCTGCTTATAAATATAATGCATGCCTAGCCTGCCGACGTTGACCTTGACAATAGTTTAAGAACGAAAGAACTGACATGATTTTCTTACGTAGGGATGGAGCATAACCCCATATGGTAGGGGGCCCTACATGTCCACTTTTGACTGCATGTCATTTCTAACTTAAGACAAACAGTAGACTATCTACTATCTGTGGTACAATGGAGGCTCTTCACTGTTGTATACAGGAGACAAGAGTTCAGTTCCCACTTGGAGAAAAAATTTTATTGAGTGTCTCTGTGTCTGCTTAAATGATGTAGGCCTACATTCAACTCATTTCAGGTTGGCCCTGACAGGCAGGGGTGGGGTTAAAGCTGTCTACCTCCTAGTCCTAGGTAAATACTAAATTGCGTCCAAAATGGTGCAAAAAATGTCTTCCTATCTATCATGTTTAGACTTACACTTACAGTGCAGCCTCACCATTAGTTTAATAGATCATGGACTTTGTGCATTTGATTAGGGCAGACAAAGTGGGTTATCTCCAGTATTCAAACTTCCACTTTTCTTCCCTTTACACATCTTAAGCCAGATCTTTAATTTTTACTGTTCTTCTTCGCCAGCCATAAGACTGAATATGAAATAATCAACTTTTTCTTCACTTTTTTTTCTCTTCTATTTGAATGCATAGTATTGTGTTGTACTTAAAAAACAAAGTACAGGATCAGTGGTGTAGTGGTTAGGTGCTTTGCCGTTGTACACAAAATTGAAGAAAATTTTAATAAATGTGTAGTAATACTATATATATTATACTAATACATGTGTAAGATTTTTAACATTTTCAGCTCGATAGCTGAGAACATTCTGTTGATTAGAAGTTCAACACATGCTCCAGTTTAAATGTTATGCTTCATAACATTTTTATCCATTTCCTCAGGCCTGCTAGTAAAAGTTTGTGAGTGTGCTTGGTGATGTTCAAAATGCTTTGAAATATAAAAAAGGAAGCCTGGTTTTTTTTTCCATTTTAAGTTAAGTAACACCCTCTACATTCTAATATAATATGTAATTTTCAAGGTCAGTCACAAGCCACAACATACTGCAGCCTCATTGAAGGATCTGAATTTATAAAAATTCATCTTTCCAGCAGCTTCTACTAATCAGAAATTTGCGAAATCGCAGCAAGGTCAAACTGTAGGCTACATCTTTATATGAGAAATCAAAAGAACTGTTGATGGGAAGATATTAAAGTGTGAAACTTGTAGTATTAACGATGTTTGCTGTTATTAGTTATTGAATGTGGACAAGTGCTTCAGAATAAGAGGGTGAGTGTTTGAATTTAATCATGTATAGTAACCTTAATGATCTCAAGTGTATTTTCATTTCTTACACTTTATGTACATCACATGTTTACTTTGTAGATCAATAACAATAAAGTTATATATCTATCATATTTTGCTCTTGTGAGTGTGAGTGCATTGATCTACATTTTATTACTCACAATATTTTTAAAAAATCAAAATATGTAGTGGAAACCTGATATAGCAGGGATGGTGGGAGTAGAGAAAATGTCCTGTTATATCCGATCCCTGTTAAATCAAAAATGCAAGGAAAGTAAGTATTTGTGGACTAATCCAGCTGTAGGCTACTTATTCATGGGTAGTTTCCTTTGCCACAAGTACCCACGAACAGGGGTTTTGGCACTAACTTTCATCAGAGTTTGGTCCACATCATCTGCATCGGGTAGTCTCATTTTCTTTCGATCCAGAGCAAACTTTCCATTGGAGTATGCTGCCACTATCTTCTCTCTATCCTTGGTAATGGTGTGAATCGACCCTTGTGGAATTTCGAACTGACGACAAATCTCTGCCAGTGGAACTTGCCTTTTGTCAACAACCTGGATTATTTCGTATTTTTTGTCAATTGAAAGGCATTTTCTCGTGCACTTGACATCGTTGGTGACACATTACGCGTGTGTGTTGCTAGGTTTCGGTCTAGTTCGAGGTCTGCAGCACACCGCAGCCCTCTCTCCCTTCACACGCTGAGTGTGCTTGCAGTGGCATGGCTTGCTTGTGTGGGCTTGCTCCTTCACTGCATTACGCTCTCTCTCTCTTACTTTTTACACACTGTAACGAGCATTTGTCCCTGCTATAAGCGGTTGGGCTGCGATGAGGCCCTGTTATTGCCGATAACTTTTAATAGAAACAAAGAGTAGGAAAAAACGAGGATTTAAAAAATCCGTTATTGCCGGATCCCTGTTATTACCGGGCCTGTTATATATGGTTTCCACTGTACAAAACTTGCTCTGCTTAGATTTGGGAATATTTTTCATCAGAAGTGGTTATGAGTATTTGTGAGTGATGGTTTAGTTATGTCATGTAGAGCTAGACTTATCCTTTCCAAACTGGGACTTACAAATGGCTCACTGTGTGCTCTCCAATCCGTTGTCTTTACTAAAAAAAAAATTCATAGCAAATTACTAGTATTATTAGTATTAATAATATAGTAAAGTAATAGTAATACAGTGGAACCCTGATATAAGTACAGTCAAACCTGTGTAAGACGGCCACACATTGTCAAGGAGAAAAGTGGCCGTATAAGACAGGTGGCCATCTTAGGCAGGACTGATCAAGATGAATAAAACAAACCCCATTCCCAATCGAAAGTAGACGCATTGTTGTTGTTGTTGTCGTCGGTTTGTATTTTGTTTGTTATTTTTATTTTGTTGCTGATTTTGTGCAAGGGTGACAATAAAACGAAATGTGTCGGACAAGGAGGACCAAGTGCTATGGTAAAACAAACATCTCCTCTTCTTTTACTTTTTGGCTTCGCCTAGGGCTATGGCCTATACTCTCTTATACGGTACTGAGCGTCAAGGCTATAGCACATCACTTTAAATTTTGAAGTTGCTCACTGCCACCTGCCCCACCTCACTCATCACTGGAACGGCCAATCACAACACCGCAATGCTGACTGCCTGTTTGGATCCCACCTACAGCCCCCACCCCAACCCCCTTTCCCACAGCTAGAGCTCGCTCGATCTCTCCCGCTGTATCCGAGTTTGGAACTTTCCTTGCCCCGCTATATCCAAGCATAAGTAATTGAGTTTACATAAAAGGGAAAAAGGGGGATTCCGGTAAGGTCCTGCAGTAGGGATGGTCCCACTATAGCGGGTGCCGCTATAGTCATGTTCTACTGTAAACGTTTGATTGGAAAGAAGGAACAAACCACATTAGAGCGCCGCCAACCACTTTGATTCAAACAAATTATTCCTATAGCCAAGACTGCCTTGATACAAACATATGTATATAGTGGGTGTCGCATTCAACGAGGTTGCCGGGAACGGCTTGTTGTCCTCGTTGGATCCGACCTCTCGTTGAACGTGACTAAGGCTAAACAAAAGAAAGGAGACAAGTTATTATATTACACGATGTACCAATACCAGTAATTAAAAGTTGTTCCCCCAGATGACGAAATTCTTAAAAAACATCAGTGTGCGCGTGTTTGAGCTGTGTATGTTTCCACATGCTCTGCATAGTTTTTTTCCGGAACACTTCTCGTGTGGAAACATACCCACTCACATCTAGGCCTAGATCTAGAGATATCTACATAAAGTAAAGGCGGGAGCTTGGATTTTCTTATCAGGGGAAGAAAAGAAAATTGAAAAAAATGAAGGTTTCGATCTAGACCTACCCATCCAGAGTTCATCCAGTTTCACACAGCCCGCATTGTGTTCCCACCCACCTCCTTCCA